GTAGCTTTCGGACGATCCGACAAGAGACTAGGAACGAACACGTGACGGACTGATGGTGTAGCTCGTAGTGATAGTCAAACTCACGAGCATTACTGAATCCATAGTGAAATCAGTCAATCTACAACATGATGACGATCGGGCTCTATCATAGATATCTGTGTAATGTTATCGTCGCATTCCAGTACAAGATTCGTATTAGTGTCCGCAGCACAAGCCATGAGCTGGGGAAGGAGGTCTCTCTGAGACCACCATTAACACATCGAATAATAAACAAGTCCCTGTTGCCCTCCTCTTACCGTTCCTCCTGGATGCCCAGTTTTACTCGACAGTGTAGGGCTTCGATCAGCAACATCGACATGGAACCTAGACAGCTAGCACTGTGTTCACCACGCGATGAAGTTGTACTGCTACTGACTGTAGCTCTTTTCGACTTCTACATTTCTCTCACTAACCCTGTTGCTTCCCATAAGAGCGCAATCTATTGAGAAGGGCCATGTCATAACTTCTTTCTATGAGCATCACTAATGAAGTTATATCGTTCAAATACCCAATCCATCACTTCTACTCGTACGACATGAAAAAACTATGCAACTATTAATCGATTCATGGAGCTACTGCAAGCCACTGGACGTACAAGCATAAAGCTAGTTTCTGATCCTTCTTCAACATTCGATTGGAGAGGAACAGCAGCAACTTGACTGGGACAGAGGTCCTATCGGGGACGCTGTTGGCAATAAGGGTGTGGCTCAGTATTTTGGTGCCTGCGCGAAACATCTCAATACAATCGGGGATCACAATGAGTGTGTGATTGCCTCAAGGGTTTCTTACCTAGTTCTAATGCGCCTTCACCCGTATTGTTCCCGCCGTGCTGAACTGTGAGCGCCCACAGCTTATACCCAGTAGCGTTTTGCCGTACTAGCTGCGATAAATGGGATGATGCTAGATACTCAGGAAGCACCTATCAGACACTCTTGAGAGAACAGAGCGAAGGAAGGCCTACCTCATCAAATTCTCGTCCTAAATAAAGTCGATAGAAGTCAGCAATGCCCTCATATACTCCTTCTATCGTCCACTCCTTGAACCAGGCCCGCACGATTTGCTTCCGTAACGACTCTTCCATACCTCTCCCCAGCTCATCCAAATCTTGCCTAAAGAGGAACGACACTTCAACAGGT